CCCTTGCAGTCCTAGCACTCTGGGAGGCTGAGGTACAAGGGTTGTAAGTCTGAGTGAGGCCTGAGCAACTCAACAAGACCTTGTCTAAAATTTTTTAAGAATATTTTAAAAGGGCTGAGTAAGATGTAATTCAGTATGAACACCCTGGGTTTAACCTCAAGTGTGCATGCACAGACACACACACACACAAAATTACTGTTTGAAAATGACAATTTTTAATACTCTTGTTTCTCTTCAGATCATATAAATCTTTCACTGTTTTGAAAATTGCAATTTTCATTAATTGCCACAAAACAAGGCAATTACACAATCCTAAATAAACCTGGGCCATTAAAAAGCTTTCTAAATATCTGAAGATAGTAAGGGCTTTGAAAAAATTAATTCTCAAATGTAGAAATGCTATAAATTATAACCAAGATTCAAAGAATGATTACAATCTCTTCTTAAAGAGACACTGTTCAAGTTAATAAAAATCTTGATACTTTTTAAAGATGACAACACTACAAAATTGAAAGTGAGGCATACTTGGCACTGTGGAAAATGTTTCAGCCAAAGAAAAGATAAATTCACTAGACACGTGGGATGCTAAATAAGTAGAAAAGATAAAAGAATGTGAAGGCAGCTGATAGATCTAGATATTAGCGCCAAAACATACAATAAAGAGGAGGTTACAGAATCATAGAACAGTTGAAAGGCACTGTACAAATGACCTGATACTATTCCCAGCTCAAGTCATAAGTCTACTTTATAGCAGACCTAATAGATAACCCTATACTTCTTAATACAATAGCACTGCAAAGTGGACCTCACTGTGTGGACTGAGAGCTGGAAAATGCCCAGCTTGTCCTGTCCCCTCCCCACCAGAATTCTCTAAAACTGAAAAGTTAAGCAAAATATGCACATAATGGATGAAGCAAAACGACATCATTACCTCTAAGAAAAAAGACAAGATTATAATAAACGAACATCTGATGTATTAAACTAATTTAAGAGAAGTGGAAATAATCTCAAGGTATCACACTAGGAATGCCATCATACAGATTAAATCTAATCACAGTGTTGCACACTGAATAAAAGACAGTAATAAGCAGCTGGATGGTCAGCATGCAATTTAAGAAGGGAAAATTTAGATACTTCTGTTTTTGTCAGAATGCAGGCTACCAAGAGACCCAACATCTGATACTAAACTTTGCATTTACTTAGAAAAATACATTGTTTTAGAGAAGCACTCTTTTTACTCCATTTATATAAACAAGAGCCTACAGCGCAGTACTTCATCCCAGTAAGTGAAAACTTCTTAAGTAGATCCCCTGTACCAAATACATTTCTTTTTTTAAAAAAAGAAAACCTCTCATTGAAATTAGTCACCTCCACTTGTGCAAATCTTAAACCTCCTCAAACCATCAACTACTTATTAATTTTGCTTATCTGCTAGTACACCATCAAGCAGGGAGTGAAAAATGAAAATTCCAATAATGGAAATGAACACTCCTCAGTGCAAAAAGACATTCTGCACTGAGACAGACATTCATACATAAGTCTCTTAAAATATAGTGAGGCAGTCAGTTTCTTGAATTTGATCTATTTTAGGTGCACTGACGATTCTCAAATACCAGAAGCTAGAAAGTAAGTGCCCAGAGCCAAAGTGAGATGACCTGGGCCACATCATGTCACCTATGAAAGGCCTGCTTAAATGGATTCTCTGAGTGACATGAGTGACATCTTTATCTCATCCCTTAACTAAGGCAGGAACTTATGACTCCTCTGTATGAGGTACTATGCTTATCAACTTAAAACACCGTCTTTGTTAGCCTTAATGGCCCACGAAATTGTTATTTATCCCACATTTTAAAATGAGGACAAAAAAACTGTGGGGCAGGAGAGTTAAGTAAATTGCCTTAATGCAGCGATCCAATTTTACAGATTTATCTAAATCAAATTTTACAGATTTATCTAGGATTGTCTGGCTCCAAAAATGTGGTTCTTTCCATTTATTTGAAATTATTTTCATTCAGCTCTAGTCTCTAGGTCTGTCCTATGAATTCTTTCTACACCATTGTTACCTTTTCCTTATTGTTCCATGGATATCTGTATTAGTTTGTCATAGAAACTATAACAAACACGGCAGAGGAGCAGCTTACCCAAAAGAAACATTACTCACTATTCTCTAGGCTTTCAGGTAAAATTCAAAGTGGAAGTTGGGCTGGTTCCTTCTTAGGACCAAAAAAGATACATTTGCCAGGCATGGTAGCACATGCCTATAATCCTAGCACTTGGGAGACTGAGGCAAGAGGATCACTGTGACTTAAGGGCTAGCCTGGACTACATAAGTTCAGCCTGAACTACACAGTGAGACTCTCAAACAAACGCTTCAAGGAAGATAGCAGAGTTGTGAGTGGGAGAGAAAGAGCTCTTCTAAAATTTGTTGTGTAAACATGGGAATATTTCAATGTGAGGGAGAGAAGAAGGAGGGCAGTGGGTCCCTGGGACCCAGGAAGTGTCTGAAGTGAGAACTGAAGCCTAAGGAGAGAGCAAAGAGAAAATTTTCAATAAAGAAAGAAGAGGCAGGCAGCACTTTCTTCCTAAGCCTGGACTCACTACATGGGAGGGACAACTTGACACTGAAGATGCACAGTGACTGCTGTGGGCAACTGTAGAGGCCTCCACAGAGAAGTATCAAACACCTTCACTAAGAGAAAGATAGCCTGTTTAATAAATCATGCTTTAAAAAAAGTGGCTTTCCACATGCCAAAGATTAAAATTAGACACCTATCTTTCACCATACACTAAACTAAAATCAAAATGGATCGAAGATCTAAATACTTAAACAGAAACATTAAATCTACTGAAACACAGAATAGGTACAACTCTTGAAGACACTGATGTAGGCAAAGACGTTATGAACAAAATCCTGATTGCACAGGAACTATTACAAAAAACTAACAACTGAACCAACAACCTTATTAAAAAGCTTTTGCACAGCAAGAGAAACCACCAACAGTGTGAAGAGACAGCCCACAAGGTGAGAAAGAATGTTTGCTGTTCATCCGATAAAGGACTAATTTCTAGAATATATAAGGAACTCAAAAACAAGTAAGAACCACCCTTAATGTGAAAATAAAATTTAAAAATGGGCATCTGTAATGAACTTTTCAGTGGAAGTGGAAATGATAAGTAAATATATGAAATTATGTTCAACATCACTGGTCATTCAAGTAATGCAAATTAAAACAATGCTGAGATTCCATCTCACCTCAGAAAGGTTGGGGTGAGTTAAGTTATCAAGAACTTAACCAGTAACAAATGCTGGTGGGTCTGTGGGGGAAAAAGAACCCTTCTCCACTGTTGGTAGGAGTATAAACTGGTGCAATCACTGTGGAAATCAGTGTGGAGATTCCTGAAAAAAGTAAGAGTAAAGGTTCCATTTGACCAAGCTATTCCTCTTCTTGTTATCTTCCTGAAATAACTGAATGCATCATAACATGGTGATATACACACCCCTATGTGTATAGTGCTACCGTTTATGATAGCTAAATCTTGGAAAAGTCCAAATGTTCATCAACTAATGAATGGCTAATGAAGATGTATTTTTTTTTTCTATACAGTAGAGTACACTACCATGAAGACAGATAAGCTGGGGACATTTCTAACTAAATGGATGCACTTTGAGATCATACTCATGAAATAAATTGACACACATATATAAATACTACATTGTTTATCTGGCGTGAGAAATTGAATGTGTAAATAAGGACCAAAATACATTATAGATATTGTGAACTACAAAGAAAATGGGAAGGGGAACTAGGGATGGGGAAGGTGGGAGGGAAGGAAAAAGACATTTATGAGAGAAGGAAAACTGGAAAAGCTTCTGTAAATGAGGAATGGGGTTAAAGGGAAGGCAACACAGTGGGAAAAATAAAAGAATCACAGTGTGTCATGTACAGGTACAAATTCCTTATGATGAATGTGATCATGATGTACATCTAAAATGTACCAATAAATGTAATTTTTTAAAAAAGATTTATTCCAGTCCTACTCAACTTGTAGGGCTGGGGGTCTAGTCCAGTGGCACAAGCACCTGCCTAGCAAGCACAAGGTCCTGAGTATGATTCCTAGTACCAAAGGAAAAACAAAAACCCTTATTCTTGACTTGTAGATAACAATCTTCTCCCTGTGTACAATGTATCCAAATATCCTCTTACTATAATTTATGAACACCATTCATATTAGGGCCCATTATTAAATTAGTTGATTTTAACTACTAAGAGGCCATTATCTCCACATATGGTCACATTCTGCACACTAGGAATTAGGACCTCAGATTACTGTCTCCCCATGAACTTTGGAAGGACATGACTCAGCTTAAATACCACCTTTAAAATAATCCCTTCTTGATTTAAGCTAACTTTACATGGGTCCCTGTTGCCCATAACTGAATTATCCTTACCAAAAGGGCTCAATTTATTCTTTTTGTTTCGTCTTGTTCTTGTTTTTTGAGACAGGGGATCACTGTGTAGTTCAGGCTGGCCTTGAACTCATGGAAATCCTCCCTCAGCCTCTGGAGTGCCAGCTTATTGAATTTTACCTCCACACACCTACTACTACTATACCCCTCTGCCACTGGTACAGAAAACCTATCAGGCACAGCGAAAACTCTATAGTAAATGCTGTAATATACTACACTGAACACCCTCCAAAATGGAAGCATTTATCCTCCTGTTCACCAGAGTGCCAGCTGCTGACAGGTCCTAGCTAATTCCCATCCTAAGAACTGGCTAGCACTGCGGCGTCCTCCATGTCCTTCCATAGCAGGGATCTCAATGATGCAGAAGTCCAAGAGTGCATGCTGCAACCTCAGTTCAGAAGATCTCTGAAGGTTATGTCAGCTTCAGGGCAACTTGCATGGATGAGCTGAGGCCTGTGCCAAACGCATCACAATCACCTCTCCTCCTACCTAACCCTGCTCTCCCTCCTGCCCCCACAGAGGTGCTGTGCTGTTCCTGAGGCCACAAATCCATCTTGCAGTGTACTTTTCAGGAAACTGACCTGGAGTAGATTCTATGCCTAACACTGTAGCAAATAAAACAAGAAGAGGAAAAACGAAGCAGGTACTGGGTTAATTTCTTCTTTCCCATTTCTTGCTCTTATACAGTCCTGTCCCCCTCTATGTCTTTGCTAGGACCCACTTTCAGCTCCCTCAACTGCTACTCCACCCACCCCTGCAGTCCTTCCATCCCCTCCTGCAGGAAGAAAGCCCAAACAAACACCTGCTCCCCCATATAACAGGGGCACCTCGGGGCCCTAGTTCTTTGTGGTCTTGCTGCTGCTCTTCTAACTTCTGCTCATTTCAGAACAGGAGGACAAAAGGACCAAAGTACTAGGGGATTCTACCTAGAAAGAAAAGCCACGCCCACCCCTTCACTGGCTGCTCCCCAACTGGCTCCCCTGCACTGTAAGTCTGGTCAAGGAAATCAGGAAGTACTACTCCTGAGGATAGAGACATGGGCCAAGCTGGCCAGGCCATCCTGCTGCTCCTCCTACTGGGTGAGTCACGAGGGCTGGGAGAAGTTTCAGACTCAAAAATCCATCATTTAAAAAAAAAAAAATCCATCATATAGATTCAATAGTAATATTTTATCCATGGAAAGTTACTAATAACACGACCTGGAGAAAGTCCTAAGAGCTCACTTTATGAACAAAAAGAAAACTGCATGGGAAATATTTCAAAGAATCAACAACTGGGATCTCATCTTATTGAAAAGATTTTGCACATCAAGAGAAATCACCAACAGTGAAAAGAATACCCACAAAGTGTGAAAAAAAAATTTTAGCCAACCATCCTCAAGGGACTTCTATCTAGAACATATAAATAATTTAAAAAATCAAACGCACAAAATTCAAAGACTCAATCCAAAAATGGGCACTGAGGTAAATAAACTACAGATGAAGAATTATAAATGACAAATAAATATATTTTTAAAATGTTCAATAGCACTGGTCATCAGAAAAATGCAAATTAAAACAACACTGAGAGTTCATCTTAATGCAGAAAAAATGGCTGTCTTCAAATCAACTAATAACAAATGCTGGAGGGGGCTATAGGGAAAATGAACTCATCTCCACTGTTGGGGCGAGTATAGACTACGGAAATCAGTGTGTAGATTCCTCAAAAAGCTAGGATTAGAGGTCCCATTCAACCCAGCTATTCCCTTTCAGGATATCATCCCAGAAGAACTAAACACATACCATAGAAATATATGTGCATATATGTGCACTTAGGTTTATAGCAACACAATTTACAATAACTAAATCTTGGGGCTGGGGAGATGGCTCAGTAGAATAAGCACTTGCCTGGCAAGCACATGGTCCTGAGTTCAATCCCTGGTTCTGCCAAAAAAAAAAAAAAAAATTAAAAAAAATAACTAAATCTTGGAAACAACCCAAATACCCATCAACTGAGGAATGGACAAAAAGAGATGTGGCATTTTTGTATAATGGAGTGTTAATCATAAAGAGCTATAAAGTCGAGGCTTTTAAAAATTTATTATGATTATCATTATTATTATTGATACTGGGTCTTGTTACACAGCTGAGATTTGTAGTGATCCTCTTGTCTCAAGCTCACCAGTGCTGGGATTACAGGCGTGCACTACCATATCTGCCCAGTTTCTGGACCAGCATGGTGTGTCCAGAGTCTGGGGTTGGCACGGCATGTGGTACCAGGGATCAAACTTGGGTGCTTGTGCTTCCTAGGCAGGTGCTTAGACTGATGAGCTATCTCCCTAGTATTTGAGGCTTTTACAGATAAACAAGTACAATTAGAGGCCATATTCACAAGTGAATAATAAGAGTCACATGTGTAAATGTCATATTGTCTTCTTAAGAGTGAAAAACTGAAAGAGTAAAAATAAGATCCAAAAGGTACAATAGATATTGTGACAGGGAAAGAAACTGCTCAAAAGGAAAGAATAAGTGGGATGAGGAAAAGGAGAAAACAAAACAGGAATATATATATAAATTATACATATAAGATACTTTTGCCACTAATTTCTATTAGTTCATTGAACAGAACAGTGTTTATATTGTTTGATCAATCATACATGCCAATATCTGGTGCTCTAAGCAAATAATTTAAATATAACAACATATGATATAATAACCACCATTAATTTCCTATCTTGTTTTGAAATTCTGTATTTTTATTGGTTTTTAAATTTTTCTTTAAAATAAAAATATTAACAATAAGTAAATGAGGTGGTCAAAGTCAGCCTCACTAAAGAGCTGTTTGAGCCAAGATGTAAAGGAGGTGGGGGACGTAACTCAATGATAAGTGCTTGCCTAGCATGCACAAAGCACTGGGTTCAAATCCCCAATATCACAAGTAAGTTAGGTAGACAGCTTGACCTGATGGAAATGAGTAGCTAAAAGGATCCAAGAAAACTACACTTCAAACAGAAATTGTTTCTGACAGAAGCTTATTCATTTCTTTTTTTGGTCTATGCTGATTTATAACAGTATGCTAAGAGAAACAAACAGATATTAGGTAGCTAAGAAGAGAAAGTACTGTAAAATGCCCATTTAGTTAAAGAAAACAGCACAAAATAAACACCTTACAAGTCTCAAATGCATCTGAGCACATCACTATATTTATAATCTAAGGTACTGGATATTCCTGATGATGACCCTGAGTTAAGTAAATTTAGATTATAGCAGCCTTAAAAGACAGGGAAGTGTGGAATTATCAAGCCTCCTCTGAAAGCTACACAGTTACCAATTTTGACCTCATCTGAGCAAACTCTAGACACAGTATATTACTGTATATTAATGCTCTGACCTGTCTTCCTTAGAGTCCCATCCAGGCTCTTTTACCAGAAAGAAAAACCTACAGACAGGTGAGTGGTCTCCACCTGGGTTCTGTACTGTGGGGATTGAAACTCAAGTAGGACAGGGGCTGGAGTCCAGGGAGGGCTCCAGCCATAGGAAGGACAGGCATTCGGGGGTGATGCATGCATGGGGACCTGAGGAACAGGATCCCAGATATCCAGTCTCTTGCTCTTCTTTCTCCAGTGTGTGGACGGCCTGTGTATTCCAGTCGCATTATGGGGGGCCAGGATGCTGCTGTGGGGCGCTGGCCCTGGCAGGTCAGCCTACGCTTTTACCAGAACCATATCTGTGGAGGTTCCCTCATCAGTGAGAGATGGGTACTGACAGCAGCACACTGCATCAAACAGTGAGTTCTAGCTGACAGCCAGCACTTAGACTGGTTTTCAACAAATACTTGAACAATTTTATGCATGAACCCATAGACCAGTGGTGGCAAAACTACTATGGTATGTATGCTGCAGCAAGCTGTTGGTATCATTGAAAGCTCTACACAAAAACTTCACATGCCAGGTGTGGTGGCATACACCTATTATCCCAGCAGTTGAGAGGCTAGGGCTGAGGACTGCTGTGAGTTTGAGGCCAGCCTGGGCTACACAGCAAGATTCTATCTCAAAAAATAAAGACAAAAAAGAAAAAAAGCTTCACTATCATAGCCACAGGCCCTTGAAAGTGATATGGGTCACTTTGGACTCTAAAATTAGGAGTCACTAGGCACAGGGCATGGAATTTTCTTACTTTCTGCCACCATACTTCACAAATGCCCATCAGGGGGTTTTGTCTTAAGCTTTTTTGGGTCACAAACACAATCTGAATTCTCAGAGTCACTGTCTGAGAACAAGTTGTCCCATGCTGAACAGTCCCCTAGAGAGGCCCAGGTGAACTGGCATCTCCAGCCAACAGCTAATCAAGACCCAAAACCAAAAGAAGTGAGTCTGAAATAGCTCCTCTCTCAGGCAGGCCTTGAGATGACGAGACATCCCCTGATTACAGTCATACAGGAGACCTTAAGTCAGAAGCACCTGATTAAGTTGTACCTCATTCCTGGCCCACAGAATCTGTAAGAAATATTTGTTCTTTAAGGCACTAAGCTTTGCAGCAATTCCTTATGCAATAGTAGATAGCTAATATGTGCAAAAGTCAAGATTTTCACTAATAACAGTGAAAGCTCAAATAAAATGAAGCAATTAAAAATGATTTCTAATCTAGAATTTTACCTATGTAAAGTATGGAATAGAAATAAGACATTTTGGAGGGCTGGGGAGATAGCTCAGTGGTCTAAGCACAAGCCCGGCAAGCACAAGGACCTTGGTTTGATCCCCAGTACTGCTCACCATGCCAGCCCTGGAACCCTGGGCGAGAAGTACTGGCCCCAAAACAGGTCATGGTGGCACATGCTTGTAATTCCAGTACTGGGGAGTCTGAAACAGGAGGATCACTACAGGAGGTCTGAACCGCACAGTGGGACCCTGCATCAAAATAAATTTTAAAAAAGAAATATGTAAAATAGCAAAAAAGTTACCTCTCCCTGTACATTTCCTCAGGAAGCCATAAGAGAATGTGATTCATTGAAATAAGAAGAGGGACTGGGGAGATAGCTCAGTTGAATAGGCACTTGCCTGGCAAGCACAAGGGCCTGAGTTCAATCCCCAGCTCCACAAACAAAAAGAAAAAAGAAATAAAAGAGGGAGAAACACTCAGAATGCTGAGGCAGGAGAGTTGTGAGTTTGAGACCAAGCCCTGGCTACAAAACGAGCTCAAGGCCAGCCTAAATTACACAATGAGATCTTGCTGCAAAAAGACAAAAAAGGAAAACATGGAGTCTAGACAAAATAGAAAATATGTAACAGAGAAGAAAACTCCTAAGAAAAATCATAAATAATAAAGGAAAGTGCCACCAAGCATGGTGTACACCTATAACCTAGCCTTGAGAGGCTGAGGCAGAACCAGTCTAAACTATACAGCAAGACCCTATCTCAAAAGAAAAAAAAAGCCTTTTGGCTCTCTGAGCAGCACCATGGCGGTAGGCAAGAACAAGCGCCTTACAAAAGGCAGCAAAAAAGGAGCCAAGAAGAAAGTGGTTGATCCATTTTCTAAAAAAGACTGGTATGATGTGAAGGCTCCGGCTATGTTCAACATAAGAAATATTGGAAAA